TATTGACCCGAAGGAAGTATCAGTTTTTCACCGCAGAGATAAGTGTCGGATATTTGACAGAACATTTTTGCATTAAACCTTTTACGTTTAAGACCACCCTGATGATGACCATAACCTATACTTCTATCCCAATGAATTGTTTTGGCAATAGTGATTGTACACTAAAAGGTGCTATATAACTTAATTGATTGACTGCGGAACCTTCCGCAGTCAACCATTGGTTTTGTATTTCTTTATTCCGTCATTTTTTTTGACACGTTTCACAGCTTTCACATTTTCAACAATTTCCACAAGTTATACATCAAAACGTTCCACATGTTTGGGAGATTATTGCTATTACTTTTGGGACTTCAGCGATTTCCGGTTTTTCCGCAATCGGACAAAAATCTGCATTGAGAATTCTGCAATGCATTTTAATAGGCCCATGCATTTTAATAGGACTTCAGCTCTTTCAGACATTTCTACAGTTTCAATGATTCAACAGTTTCAAGGATTCAACAGTTTCAAGGATTTCAGCAGTTTCAAGATTTCAAGAGTTTCAAGGACTTCAACAGTTTCAAGGACTTCAGCAGTTTCAAGGACTTCAGCAGTTTCAAGGACTTCAGCAGTTTCAAGGACTTCAGTGTAATCATGCAACCTAATAGGGATTTTTCCATGTAAACCAGTATAATGCAACTTAATAGGGATTTTTCCATGTAAACCAGTATAATGCAACTTAATAGGGTTTTTTCATGTAAACCAGTATAATGCAACTTAATAGGGGTTTTTTCCATGTAAACCAGTATAATGCAACTTAATAGGGGTTTTTACATGTAAACCAGTATAATGCAACTTAATAGGGTTTTTTCCATGTAAACCAGTATAATGCAACTTAATAGGGTTTTTTCCATGTAAACCAGTACAATGCAACTTAATAGGGATTTTTCCATGTAAACCAGTATAATGCAACTTAATGGGGATTTTTCCATGTAAACCAGTATAATGCAACTTAATGGGGATTTTTCCATGTAAACCAGTATTATGCAACTTAATAGGGATTTTTCCATGTAAACCAGTATAATGCAACTTAATAGGGATTTTTCCATGTAAACCAGTATAATGCAACTTAATGGGGATTTTTCCATGTAAACCAGTATTATGCAACTTAATAGGGGTTTTTACATGTAAACCAGTATAATGGAACTTAATAGGGGTTTTTACATGTAAACCAGTATAATGCAACTTAATAGGGATTTTTACATGTAAACCAGTATAATGCAACTTAATAGGGATTTTTCCATGTAAACCAGTATAATGCAACTTAATAGGGTTTTTTACATGTAAACCAGTATAATGCAACTTAATAGGGATTTTTCCATGTAAACCAGTATAATGCAACTTAATAGGGTTTTTTACATGTAAACCAGTATAATGCAACTTAATAGGGGTTTTTACATGTAAACCAGTATAATGGAACTTAATAGGGGTTTTTACATGAAAACCAGTATAAAGGATAACAGTTTAAAGGATATCAGGAGCTTCAAATACTTCAGGAGTTTCAAAGATGTTTAAAGTATTTTAACAGTTTCAAGGATTTCAAGGATTTTTCAGCTAAATTCCACATTAGATCTGTTCCGCAGTCAATCGCAATGGCTTCAGCCATTGCAACGGTTTCTAGTTCTATATTAACATTCAATCACAATTTCAGTCGCTAAGTAATCCTGATTTATTTATCACTTTACACATAATGTCAAAGAATGTCACAAAGCTTACACACTCTCACACACACACACACACACACACATGCATTTACTCACTCTCTCACACTGGGCACAGTATCTTGCCACACTTGGCCACACTTGCCTCATTAGCGATTATTCGCTTAATCTACGTTTTATATATTAGACCAGTTTATTCACGTTAGTAGCAGGTCATCTCTGCCCTGAAAACGGTGTTCTATTCTACTGCAGCTCGGTGCACTGTTCCCCTGAAGCCTTCTTTATTATGTTTCACACTTTCAGTTCGATGTTTCGGCTGCGAATGAGGCCTCACATTCATCTCATTGTCAGACTCGCTGATAGCTTTGACAGCAGATAATTAGCCTTATATTACATCCTGTCTGCACCATTGACCTCAACATTTACTCGGCCGTAAACGTTTTATTTCAGATGCTACTTTGATATAATTATTTTGGCTGAAGCGGCTCCATATTTTCCATCTTACAAATTGGAAGAAGTCAGAGGAACAAGTTCTGCAGCTCTATTATCAGTCCCTGTTGTATTTGCTGTAGTTAGTTTGTTTTGGACAGAGATATTTTCTCTGCTCTTGGCGTGCTAGATTAAACTATTATGTGATAGATTGAAAAGGACTTCCAAGTCTGTCAGCGCTGGCACAGATGTTTAAATACTAAACCCCGAAGTGGACGGTAAATAATGTATGTTTTTCAGACCTGCTCCTTGTTTCCATTCAAAAGGATTATTCTTACAAACTTGAAATTAAAGACGGAGTATAATGCAAGCCAAAGAATGACACAAAACAGAAGTATTTTTGTAATATTGTAGTATTCTGTTTAATAAACATACTGAAAGCAATGATATAAACCAGTACATGCTTGTTTATACAATTATAATAAGAATTATTGCAATCAACAGTGCTTTAGGTATTAGTAAAATGTAATATTTTACTTAATAATTCAATTTTGACCTCTGTCACATCTTTAGATCAGCTTTTTAAGACAGAAAAGAGAGGCCCACCACCCTCAGACTTAAATTTTAATAGCCACATCAAATCAGTAACATCAGCAGCTTTTTACCATCTAAAAAACATTGCCAGGATCAAAAACATAGTGTCTAAAGCAGACTTGGAGATTCTTATCCATGCATTTGTCTTCAGTAGGTTAGACTACTGCAATGGCCTGCTCACAGGTCTGTCCAAACAGGCTGTAAAACAGCTGCAGTACATTCAAAATGCAGCAGCTCGAGTCCTGACTAGAACCAGGAAGTACGACCATATTAGTCCGGTCCTCAGGTCTCTGCACTGGCTTCCTGTGGCTCAGAGAATAGACTTTAAAACAGCTCTGCTTGTGTACAAGTCTCTCCATGGCCTCGCACCAAAATATATTAGTGACATGTTAGTCCCATATGAACCAGCCCGGACTCTGAGGAGCACAGGGACTGGACTCCTGTTAGTGCCCAGAGTCAGAACTAAACATGGGGAGGCTGCTTTTCAGATTCATGCTGCTAAAATCTGGAACAATCTTCCTGAAGATGTGAGGCAGGCCTCCTCTCTGACAATGTTTGAAACCAGGTTAAAGTTAGTTCTGTTTAGCTGTGCATACAACTGAGGGATTTTATATTTTTATCTTTCTTTTTAATGTACTGTGATAATTTATGATTTTAATGCTTTCTTATTTTTGTTCATCACTTTGAGTTGCCTTGTGTATGAATTGTGCTATACAAATAAACTTGCCTTGCCTAATCTGCTCTCAGCCCAAACTCTTTCTGTTTCAACAAATAGAATGTCTTGACTTTAAAACTTTAGGTACCCCTGCTTTAACAATCACAATAAAGGTCTTTTTAAATTAACAATTACTTAAGTTCTGTGTCCCATTCCAGACAGTGTTATTTCGATGCAGTACTTTGTGAGTCAGTTACACGTTGTCTTTGAGACATTTGAACTGTTGGATACAGTGAGTGCTTTAGTGACCAAACGTTGATTCTCTTTCAGTAGGAATAATGACTACTGAAAACAGTAGTCATTATTCCTACTGAAAGCGTAAATATTGCTGAATAAATATTATCCTCATCAGATTTTAATCATTAAAATGAACTCCAGCTGCTTCTATGGATCATTAATTTTTCCATAGTGTCAGTGACACTTTCAGTATGATTTTATTGGCAGCTCCCTCGAGCCTATGAGCTAAACTTCTTCCATCTCTGCTCTGTGTTCTGACTTTAACAAATCTCCTCAAAGCACTTGAAACGTCATGATGCATTGTCTGAGAGTGTTGACAGATATACGCATCAGTGGCTTTGCTGCGTGGCCGTCTACACTAAGCTGATTGCTCATATTTCAGAAAAAATTCTTGGGGTTGTACAAAACATATTTGTTTGGAAGAAGAGGTTTACACATGCTGTACAATTTTACTCCAAAGCTGGGATTATTGATAGAAACTGAGCGAACAAATGGACATTTCTTTTGTGGCTCTTGATTTATTTTTGTGCTTTGTTCCTTTCATAATGAAAATGTTATGTGTATCTGTTATGTGTATTAGTTACTAACTGTAACTAATCAAATACAATAGGTAGTAAATGCTTGAATTTATTATGAGTTAGCCTGAAGTGCAAAAGGCTTCAGCATTTATTCTTCAGAAAGCAGCAGCAGCAGCAGCAGCGTTCCTTGTTACAGCGTTCCTAACACAGAGAGACAGAGGCCACGGAAAGAGCCAAGAGAATCGTGCATCCAATTCGTGCTGGTTTGGCAAAATGTGAATACAGCTTTTGTCCACAACGAAACACAGAAGTCGCAATCGTAGCTGTCACTTTGTATGGAAGTGGAATACAAGATTATTTTAACTGTTGCTTGTCCTCCAGCAGATAGATTGAGTTTAAAGATGATATCCAATACAATAATGACATGGTTGCTGAAATGATGAGATTTTGGACATTTAATGGAGGCCAACAAAAGCTGTGAGGGCAACATACTATTCTATTCATTCAAGCCCCTTATGAACCAATACCAATGTGTTTTATGTTTTGTAAAGTCCTCCGAGAACTACTGTTGTGGTTTCGGGCTATACAAGAAAACATTGATTTGAATTGAGTCACTATTTTCCTAGCTGGGGAACTTATTATATAACTGCATAAAGAACAATTTCGTATGAGTTTCAGCCACTAATGATAAAATACAAATAAGAAATGACATCTGCAGGATGATAACCCACTGTGTTTTGGGCTGAACTGATGTTGCGTGACTCAAAGCTTGCATTCTTCCTGCTGATGGTTGCCTGTGTGTGGTTGCAGTGGTTGATTGGGGACCGGGACAGTCACTGCGGGCTGCCTTGCTCAAGGACTCAGGGCAAACCAGTGTGTGGATCAGACGGCCGCAGCTACGAGAACAGCTGTGAACTGCAGAGAGCACGCTGCAAAGACAAGACCCTCACGCTGGCTCATCGAGGGAGGTGTCGAGGTGGGAAATCTTTTTAGACCAATACATAAAAAATCCTAAACTAAATCTCAACTGTCTTGTTGTCCAGGTAAAAACTGGGTAAGAATCAATCAGCCGATTGTGGTACCGACATCGGCTTCAGTGGTGAGAGATGCTGACTTTAAAGGTAAAATTACACAGTCATAAAGATACATGTATGATTATCTGTGGACTATATGGAGACAAAATGATCATGCAAATAAATAGATAGAATATAGAAATAGATAATTCCTGACAATCTACAATGGGAGCGTATCTAAAAATCCTGTTTTTCAACCAGTGTGCTGTGGCACGCTAGTGTGCCTTGAAATGTTGCATGGTGTGCCTTTGGTCCACTATCACCTTATTTTGTCAAAATAAAGTGAGAAGATTTTAAAGCCTTTTTGGTGCTTTTATAAATTCTATATAATAGACTATGAGGAGAATGACTTTCAGTGTTTCTGCAGAGTTTCATGTTTGTACACGTTTTAGCTGGTGGTGCGTCACGTGATTGTTTTCAATGAAAAAAGTGTGCCAAAAACGTTGGGGAACACTAACTATCCAATCTAAATTATACTATAACTCTTAGATTTAAAATTGATGTAGAAGTAACTATTTTGATTTAAAATTACTCAATGTCAAATGGACTCAATATCAAAATAAACAACATTTTGTGCCTTTTGCTTCATACCATCTAAATGTTTCTGTCTCCCCATAACAATCCTTTTTTAAATGAAATAAGACCAATACACATTTTGGTCAACAATAGACGCCATTGGCCAATGAATGGACTAAACTAATACAGCTGGCAGCACTAGCCCCGTCTATAATCCATATGAGGTTTTGCAGGTGGACAGTGGTCAAAGTTGAAGTGAATGAGGAGATGTCTTTGATGTTCCGCCTCAGTGTCTCCGTGTAAACACATCCAGACCCTCACCAGAGGCTCAGGATGCCAGCCACTCAACAACACGCAGATTGATAGGTTTTGAGTCAAGGTTGAGCTTGGCATTTCCCCTTTGCCACCTCCTCTGTCTCTTTGGCTCTATTTGGGAAACAGAAAGCCCTTTTTGGATTAAGTCCTAATTTCTCGTATGGTAATGCGTGTTTTTATTTCAAAACATTCTGCTATTCCAGGCAACTCGGAGCCGGATGAAGCTCATAGTTTTTGCACATTTAATGATCAAAATAAGGCTTTACACAAATCTCTGTTTACAACTTCTGGCACAAACTTGGCCGTGTGAATTTGATGGGATTATGAGACAAACGCGAGCGACTTAGCCACAATTGAGAGAAGACATGACTGCACGTTAGGCATTGTTTTTACACATAGGTATTAAACAGAGGTTAATTTAATAGATGCAATTTAAGTCATTAAATGCAGGACCATTACTAAACAAGATTGTATAATGTATAGACGTTTTGTGCAATAGTCAACATACTGTAATTGTTATTTTGTAGCGAAATGGAAATAGTGAAAAGGCCATTGGCTCAGAGTGGAGTGTGGATGTGAGAAGGTAGACTGGCTTTAATGGCATCCCCAGACCAGGAGCAAATTAACAGGGACATGGTCTGAAAAACAGATTAAGACAGATTTTCTACTTATGCAGCAAATTATTTCAGTGTTAAATATAAATATGCTTTTGAAAATATGCTGACATTTCACTCAGACAGTCAGACTAGTCAACTGTTTCAACAATCTCAAGTCTGGACACTGTCTCTGGTTGAAAGCTTTACCTGAAATAGTCTAAAAGTACTTCCATTTGTATACTTCTCACTCTTTGGCTTATTGATTATGTTTTGAATGTAAGTTATGATATGAAGTATGCTGTACAAAACAACAAAACAGGAAGCAATCCCACAGTTTGAGAAGCACTGGTGTCATATCTAGAGACGCACATGATGCTAATGCTAACTATTATTTTTATTTTATTTTTTAACACAACGCCCACATTCAGTTGCCTTTTATAACTTAGGATAGTCACCTAAAAAGGCTTTGTGTTGCATTTAAGTGACACATTTAAGTGAGCGAGATGGTGTTAAAGGAATAGTTCACCGTTTTTACATACTGACATATGTTCTTACCTTACCTTAGACTAGTTAATACGTACCTGTCTGGTCTTAGTCCGTGCGCTCTGTCATGCAAACGGAGCAAAAACGGGAGCACAAACGCAGCCTCCTCTGTATACTGTGTAGGACCAAAAGGTAGCTCCCGCTAGAAGCTACCAAACTCTTCCAAGTGTTCCCTATTAAATGTATATAGTTACGTGACGTGTTACACTGCAAAGTATAGTAACACAGAAATGTAACAGTCGATTTTCTCAGCGGATAAAACGGGTACTATATTGTGAGGCGTAGTAATCTGAGGAGCGCTACGTCCGCGCACTAACTTCTCTCCGTACTACAAGTCACGCTGCTTCTATTGACGGAAGTGAGCGAGAGAGAAGTCTCCGGAGAGAAGTTATTATCTATTATCCAACAGAAGGATAATAGATTAGGGGCGACAGTAGCTCAGTTGGTAGAGCATTGGCCTTAAGGCCAGAAGGTCGTGGGTTCAATTCCCACCTCTGCACCTTCTCCATCGACTCCCACTGATGACTGCTGTCGTTGTGTCCTTGGGCAAGACACTTAACCCCACTTTGCCCAAAGCCCCCACTGAAAGATCACGGCTATGCTCACACTCAGAGAGCAGCCGTCCTCCTGTGGACTCACCACCTGCAGAGGGTCAGTGAGGGGCTGGTGCTATGAGACTTGGGTGGCATCTCTGATTGTCACCCCCCTGACCCAGAAATGGATTAAAGGGTAGAAAATGGATGGATGGAGGATAATAGATTATGTTGTGGCAGTAATGTCGTGAGGAAATCCATGACCTATAATTTATTATGCTATAACTGCAATATTGTTGCTTTGGTATTAGAAAATAATTCTTTTTTATTTTTTTTATTCTAGAGGTGTCTTTTCAGCTCCTGAGCTTTCACACAAAATGTACCACACTGTAGTAAGTTCCTTGCAATTTGGTTCTATCACTGTATTTTAGACATTAGATTCAGATACATTTTTTTGCCATTTGCAGTAAAACCACATTGGAAAAACTGTGCAAGACTACCCCAGTGTGCACCAGAAAGAGACGACGGCACACACCAGAGCTCTTGCCACGGCGCCATCTTTAGGGCGCCATGCGAAAAACAATAGAATAAACAGCAGAGAGCAGTAATATACATTTCACAAGACACAATGTCAAATGTCAAACAAATGTTCAAAATGACAAACGTCTTTGGATCAAACCTTTAAGTCATAGAAGAAAATGAAAAAACAAAATAGTGACGTTAACATATAGAGCTTTACTGGACACTCAAAGACGCTTCACATGGCATTGTTAATTCACTTAATAGTGGTGATAAACTACTACTGTAGCCACAGCTGCCCTGGAGCACACTGACAGAAGCGAGGCAACCAGTATGTGCCATCAGCCACTCTGACCACCAGCAGTTTGGCACTTTCTAGCCGCAGCCGCCCCACTGTGGCACATGGTGTTCCCAGGGGTCTCCCATCACAGCACTGACCAGACCCTGCTTTGCTTAGTTTCAGAGGATCAGAATCTGGCTGTCCCATGCAGGTGGCGCCTCAAATAAAAATAACGGATAGATTATTATAATGGATTATTTATGAAACAGAAAAGTTAGGTTCCCCAGCTTTAAAAAATCATGCGAGTATGATTTGGAGATTTTAGACTTCTTTCCTTATTAGAGATTGTATACTGCTTAGAGATAGAGATTTGATTCTCATCATTATTCACTTATTGTGTGCTTCTCATTCCTACTGTTCTGTAACTTGTTCTGTCCTGCTGTTCTGTAACTGTGATACAAAACTGAAATTTCCCCACTGTGGAACGAATAATGGATCTAATAACCTGAATCTCTCCCATTACTATTGACACATGAACCAATAAAACCCTGTGTTTTAATGAGCTCTTGGTTAGATTCAAAATACCTCATGAAGTATATTTTTAGCTCAAGGTTTTATTCCAAATGAGTGGTGAGCCTACTGCAGCGTACTGACCCCTGCTTTGATCAGGTGGGATCCATTGGGAGCCCGTGGTCCCGCTCCGCTCCCTGGGGTCTGTGTGTGTTTAGCCAAAGCTGCTCAGTGCAATGAAAACAGTGTTGGTTGATAGGTCTGTATTACTCAAGCTTTCATCCCCTCCACACGGCTTCAGACCTGGCCGTACGTGGTCAGGGTTGGCAAGAGTCGTGGCAAAGATTAATGGAATTAGTCTGGACACAGAAACAGAGGCTGCAGCCAAAAACAACGTCTCTTTATTTGGACAGTTATAGAAGCAAACTGTAGTGACATGGTGCTGATTTGATCTGTTACACACAAGTAGCTAAATGACATGCATATTGTGAGGAAAAGTAAAATGAGAAAAAAAATGAGGGGAGGGAACCTATAACCAATGTCTTATTAAAGGATAAATATTGTTAGCAAAATAAAAAATAAAGCACACAACAATAATAATAATAATAATAATTATGGTAATGATAATGATAATAATAATAATGCATCCAATACATGTAGTCATACACTAGACCCACAGGTGGTAAACTACTGCTGCAGAAGGACACAACTATTGTAATCACTGATAGAGATTTGGTCCCATAGTAAAAACATGTTGGCACAAATGGAAAAAAAAAACTTCCGTTAATGCTGTGTTGGTATTTTGTAAAGATGATTTTTTATATTCACGGTGACATACTGTGAAGAAGCAGGTGCAAATCAACAACTATACATAGATTTCAGAAAATGTAGATTTCCACAAACATGAAATGCATTAAAGTACAACATGTCTTGGTGTACTCCTGAAACCTTATGTTTTAGTGCAACATAAGAGTAACATCATTTAAATGTGTTTGTGTAAGCCCTCAGTCGTGCAGCGATTAGTCAAAGCAAAGGAAGGTTTCACACCCATCATCTGTACTTCTTAGCAGGTTTCCCCGACGTTTTGTCCTTCATCTAAAGAACTTTTTCTAGGGAATGAAATCTCAGACCGCACGTTGGAGATTTATAACCTATGGGTGTGTGGTTAGCCACATTAACATATACATTTAAATATATATGTTGACAATCAAATGGTATTGAAATTGCCCTGTTATGACCTGTGCTGCTCAAATGAATTGCTCCTGGTAGGATAAATAAAGTAGTCTGAATCTGAATAGCACAAGGACACCTTTTCACTCGACCCTCTCATTCAGATATGCATTCAAAAATCTTCTTCCACAAACATCCTGTAGCTACTGTACGTCAGACAACTGAATGTATTTCCGTCACTCTCAACATTCATATTTGTAAAAAGATGACGTTTTCCCCTGTCTCGTGCCGTGTTGCAGATGGAGATCAGTCGAAATGCCGCTCAGAGAGGAGCCAGGCGCTGGAGCAGGCCCGCAGACCACAGGAGGCCATGTTTATCCCCGAATGCAACGAAGACGGGACATTTGCTCAGGTCCTTCATCTCTTTACCCTCCTCCTCCTCATTCCCAGCTCATGAGACAAAGAGCACTCGGTCCAAAAACTGTTCTCCATTAGCAGCTTTTGGCTTCGTTCCTGTGTTTTGTTGTTTTAACGCTGGCTAATGAAATATTATCTATCTGCATCTTATTTGTGTGTTTCATGTTTTATTGGCCCCAGGTCCAGTGCCATACGCTGACAGGATACTGCTGGTGCGTCACGAGCGATGGGAAACCAGTCAGCGGCTCCTCCGTACACAACCGCACACCAGTGTGTTCAGGTAGAGTGGACGTTTGGGGACATTTGACGGCGGAAAATGTTCAGTTTCTCAAATGTTGGTTTTTTTCTGGGTTTTGTTGCATCTGTCCTACATTAGTTCCATAGCTCAAAGCGAAGGCAGGTATTAGGTTTTAGGGCAATCAGAATAGATCCAGTTCAAGCAGCTAGGTGCAGGTGCAGAATCGTTGCCTCGTAGGGGACGATAGAGCTGAATTTGATTTAAATAATTCTCGCACACTTTCTGTGAATGATGCAAACTTTATGCTACTTCTCAAAGATCACTGTGTTTGTCTCCTATATGATATATTGAACTGAAATGTCTTATCCAAACAACCAATGATTCATAAAGGAGAATCACACAAATTGAGTAGGGTTTCTAAACGTTTGCATACCACAGTACGTAGTTTCTTTGACAAATTTACCCTACCACTGATTGTCAAACATATGCTATAAGATAAATAATATATTCTTAAACTCCTAATCACACTTTTTATTGCTACTCAATGTCAATTTTGTGCCATGCGCTGTGTATGCAAACAGGAATGAAGTGTTATTCAGAATGTCAGATGGATGAGAAGATATTTCTTAATGAATATTGTCAATGTTTAAGTAGATGCATTTGGCTTTAAAAAAATATAATAAAGACTTTATAGATTGATTTATTTTCCTTCAAAGGAAAAGCCCTCGATACTTGGATCAGCTGCAATACAAATACGAATATCAAGGCCTGACCTGCCTGAGTTTGAGTGTGTGTCGTGGGGAAAGCGTGAACTCTGGGCACAAGTCTGGGCACATGTGTATTTCATGTGTCTACAGCAGGTGCTCGGGGTCAGACAGGAGGCTAATGGCCAAACGTCCCGGGCCCCTGCTCCCTCTCCAGCTGTCTCACCCACACGGCCCTCAGTCTGGGATGGGAACACTTTATGATAATCACACTCATTTTCTTGTGAAGTTAATACTCGGGCGTTTTGCCAGACCCGGATTGCAGCATCACCGGAGCTGCATATGGAGCACATTTTGAGCCGAGTGGTGAAAGTGGTGGCATGCCCTTCTCTGCTCCTCGACTCATGGACAAGTCTGCGCCACAATGAGCACACTTTTGTTCCAATTTAGAAGTTTATAGCTCTGTGTTTCAGTCCATGCATATCTATTTTTTATTTTGAATCTATCTAATCATGTAAGGGGACACAGAGACAGCCAACACAGTCAACAAGTCAACAATACATTCTACAAGCATGAAAACAAAATACATTTTTAGTTATAAATGCACTTTTAAACAATATTCTATTTTTCCGAGTTTCATCTACATATAGAATAATGTACAGAATATATAGAATAATGAATGAATAGTGATTCTAATTTGAAATATTTTTGCAAATAATTCTATTACCATGACAGTGTGTCGGGGAAAGGCAGATGTATGTCCCGCCTTTTTGAAGTTATGGTAAAAGATTGTCTTTAAAAAATCACCGAAATATTTTTTGTGTGTTTTTGTATCTGACCCAGTGGAAGTTATATGTTTGGACTTTTTGCTTTTTTGGTGCACAAGTTTGCTTTTGGGACTTCAAAATGTATACGTGAAGTAGCTATGATTTATTGAACTCAAATCTAACTCAGATCTATTTTCCGAGGCAGACAATCCGCTTAAACATTTGACATTCCATTTCTTGATTATAATTCAAATGAGAGATTATCCTCCTGTACATATGTCACATTTTTACATCAACATTTTCCATTCACTCCACAGTCACAATCCGATTGTTTCCACATGAGAGAGATGTGGCATCTTGTGCATCTGGGTTGGATGGTGAATCTGTGATTGTTCTGAACCGTTTCCTGTCAGTCGTGCATTAGATCCTGTATGTTTATTGGTTCTTGCAGAGTTATTTATAAATCTCTTTATTTCGTTTTGGGATAAAATCAATCAGGGCCAGTTTTTGGTCTTCTAGTTTCACAACCATGAAACCCACATAAATTCAGTTTCAGTTTTTTTCAGTGAATTATCAGGAAATTAAGGCAGAAGTAAACATACATATTCATGTTACCATAACATATTTCAAAGAATAAACACTTAGTACTACAAGTAAATGATGTCACGTACATTTGCAGGAAACTTCCATGAATTTATGAGAACTCATGCTGGGACGAGTGGACTTTCAAGTAGTAACTTACTTCTAGATCATTCCGAAATCTCCCTCTTCTTAAAAAAGCAGAAATACACGTTCATTTCCTGGGTGTGTCTTTTCTGCACGAGGAGCAGCCTCTTCAGCTCACACATGGGGCAGATTACGCGGCTCTGCATTTGTCAGAGTTTGGAATATGTGGTTCGGTATGTGTTCACCTTAAGTACTAACACAATGTGCTCATCGAACTCTAATAAACCAGGGTAGAAACTTAAACTCTTGACGTCAGTAGGTCTGAGGCAGCGCCTGTGCCCCATTATAGCATGTCCATTCTAAAGAGAGACTTTTAACACAATATTAAGTGTAAATAAAATAATATTAGAAAAGAATTGAATTTGATTGAGAGATATTGCTGTTTTTCTTTTGTTTTCAGGCTCTTCGCTTTTCATTCAAAGCAGATTGTTTGCAAATTGGCAAAAAAATTGAAAATGCATTCGTTATTAGCTATCAAAAACGACTATTCCACTTAACATTCTGATGTAGATTAAAATAGAAATATTCAAGTTTTTCTTGTATTTATTCTCATGTGTTCTGTGCAGGGTCGGTGACAGACAAGCCGCCTGGTCCTGTGAACTCGGGCAGAAAAGGTGAGCTGAGATCTGCCGCAGGATCTTTGCATGACTTCTAAATCTAATGTACCTGTTGTTTAAAAAATCCATCATTAACGGGAGGCTTGTTCATTATATTTCACATTTAAATCTTTAAGTTGACACAATGTTGTTTAAAAAAAAGAAAATCCACTTCATGGCTACAAAGATCAGGTGGTGCCCCGCTAACCTGGGATCATGATATTGTGTAAGCTGTAGATGACAATGCTGTGCTGTTTGTGGCTTGCGTGTGATTTGACTGTTTTCTCAAGGGAAGTTGGAGATGCTTCAAACCTCCACTTAGGTGAGTATGTTACAGGAGCTCTGCCGTCATCATTTGCATCAACAACATTTAAAGCAGGATCTAAAACAAGAGTGGTACAAGTGTGCTACAGTCCTTAATATGTATTCATACATTTATCAAAACTAAAAAAAATTAGACTACAAAGTAATTCATTATTGAACTAAATTAAAAGTGTTTGTTTCTGGGGGGATTAAAACAGAAACCTTGTTTCTTGTCAGATGTATTTTTTTTTTTTTTATCTCTTGTGGCGACAAATGTATGTTCTGCATTCTAAATATTACAGCTCATGAATACCAAAAAGTCAACAAAAAAGCTTGACTTATTCCTTGGGCTAATATGGGTAGGAGAATAGTAAAAACTGACAGAGCAGCCTCCTGTGGACTCACCTCCTGCAGGAGGATCAATGAGGGGCTGGTGCTCTGTGAAATGGGTGACTGCCACCCCCCGACGCAGAAATGGACGAAGGGGAAGAAAATGCATGGATCAATCTCAATTTTGAAATGTAATTTATAACCTGTGAGGGCTGATGGATGCTTAACTTAGTAAAGGAAATCATCCATATCTAAGGGAAACGTTGTGAATGAAGAGAGGTGATGCATCTGCCTCTTCAGCCCCTGCTGTGTTACTGCCCGATATTACATAATGCATTACATAAAAAGTGAGATGTATCAAGCCTTTATTTGTTATAATGTTGATAATCATCTAATTTGAGGCTTGGCAAATGTCACTTTGTATGTAATGATCCATGCAAGTGTTTTGCATTAAAATTTACTTTTGGTAAGATGTTCAACTTTCACCTGTACAGATGAACTGCCCCTCTACTTGTTAGACTTTTATTAGAGATAAAATGTCTCAAATCCATGTAATGACAAATGCAGCGAGATGCAGGACCTACACATTCAGATAATAGTTTATAAGATTAGCTCAAAACCACTGGGCATGAATAATAAAAGCAGAATAGATCTATATTAGTATTAGAAATGGGCTTGAAAAAAAATAAATCAATAAAATAAACTTAAATTTACCTCCTGGGCAAAAAAAATAAAACGTATTTTACACTGAACAAGTATTGGTGGATTCCTGCAGGCATAAGAGTAAATGTCCGAGCGTGTGGTGTGACTGTGGAGAGTGTTGATGTGTGAGTGTGTGGTGAGTGAAAGTGTGGTTTCATGTTCTGTGTTTGTCTTGTGTGTCACTGTCTGTCTTGTGTGTTGTGGCCGGGCCATGTGCAAATCCCAACCATTCAACAGTTCTGGAGAGTAGATTGTATTAACCTCAATAATGGTAGTCTCTTTCCGTTTCTTTCTCACTCTCAACCCAGACGACGGCTCCAAACCAACCCCCACCATGGAGACCCACGTGCCCCCCGAGGGAGATGGTAAGCCCCCATCACTGGTTTTCAACTTTTAGTCTAATGTTGTATGTTCTGTAATATATTGTTCACTATATCAAGCACTAAATCTATGTCATTAATCTATGCCGGATTTCATTATTTCAGGTGAGTACATTTACACATCAGAAGAAGACAAGAGTACGTTAACAAAAATGTATTATTTTCAAAGCAATCCAATTTACATGCACTTCTCGTAACTTCGTCTTAGCACTTTAACTTGGAACAGTAATTGAAAATAGTATATTTATTGTATAAGGACACTTTTTCTTTACTTTGAGAATATGATTTTCACAGCACAGGTCATTGTTAAAACTTCTAAAACTAAAAGGGTGAAAGCCAGATCCATCTCGACACATAGCTCACAATTAAGTCATTTGTTTTACTGATACAAATATATTAGTCCAGAATATTGTAAAAAAATAAAGGGTGAGACATTTCTGAAAGTGAAACCGTTAGGAATCTATGCAATAAATGAGTTGAATGAAACAAAAATGACAATGTAGGTGCAGGAAGGCCAAAGATCCATGACATAAGGCTTGAGCTCCAAGACTAAAGAAATAGATCCAGGACTAAGGCTTGAGCTCCAGAAATAAGGCAATAGATCCAGGACTTTAATCAAAATCAAATTGTACATTTGACAAGCAATTGTAATAGAGATTTCATTCTCTGCTCCAACTCCAGAGGAATCTCAGTGAGTGATGTGCTCAATCCTTCTAATCTGTGCCGCATGAATGCAAAGTCCACATGTCCAAACACAGTGTCATATCCTCAGGCAGATCTCTGTTACATGTGAACGCTGCCTCCATTTGATGAGCAGCTTTTTGGCCGTGCCTGGCTGAATCGCTGTGTTGATGCAGGCGTGTTGGCAAAGCCGCTCAAACCTCAGTGCATTTGGAGCCAAGTAAAGATATTTCTTTTCTTGCAGAGATCACAGCTCCAACTCTGTGGATCAAACAGCTGGTCTATAAAGAGAACAAACAGAACAGCTCTGCAGCCAGAAAACAAGGTGAGGGCAAAACATGTGACTGATCAACGATGGGTGTGAAAGTGTATGCAGGCAAAAACATCACATGGGGTTTGTAACTTTCTCGCCTCAAAATGTTGATTCATATTATGGCAAATTTATGTTTTTGAAAGTAGATGGTAAGGAACAGTAAATCAAAAGAACTCTGTGTATACTATATTTAGAATGTATCTATAGTAACTCGAAAAACAGTGACAATGTACTTGCCCTGTAGTTTAGATGATTCTGCCTTTTTGCATAATGCTGTTTTGAATTAATCCTAACAAAAACATTTATTCTCAGGCTTTGGTACATTATTCATGCAGAGATTGATGTCCCTGGAATAAGAATAAAAGCGGTACATCACTCATTACCACCACTAATAGTTTACATAAAGACATTTGTGCTATAATAACGCACCAAGAGCCAGTTTCTGCCTGATCAAAGGCTGTGAGGATTTCGAATGGTAATGTGATCAGATATTAGTGCCGATATTGGAATAAAGTTGGATTTGGTATTGGCTCTATGATGCGGGTTAGGAAAATATCCGGATATTATTTAACGACTGATAACTAGATAGATAGATAGATACTTTATTTTTTTCTGTATAGAGAAATTCAGGTGTGCAGTAGCAGCAAAAACACATCCATCCATACTAACAAAACAAATACATGTATAGTAGCTACAGTAGATCTAGCATAAATACACAATTGGACCCAGTTTGTTGTCCTTTTCCTGTGAGGGAGAATTGCTAATATCATCAGTCCCTTTTTACCTTTTCGTTCTTCGTTTTTGAGCAAAATCTTTCACATTTACTGCCGATAACAACAATTTTTGAATATTGTAGCTAGCAGACTACACATTTTTGACAGATGTATGTAGATATCTGGTGTCATATATACTGGTAATATTTTTTATGGGAAATAAAACGCAGATCAGAGCCTCCAGAGATTGTATTTCTTTGCGTTTGTCCGAGTATTACGAGTGTTCCTGGGGGAAACTCACAACAATGAAATAATTGTTACATTGGTTCCTGAAGTACTGTGTGTGGCTTCAGTTCTTTTGTTTTGTTTTCAAAGAGCCGCAGTTTCCGACCATTCAGCCTCCGCCAAGCACAACACTCATTCAAATTAAACAGGCAAGAATAAACTCGGACAGACCCAAAGTATGCATATTAATGTATTAGGTTTCACAGGATTTGGTGTTTTTCAGTTATATGCATCCAAATAATTTCCTCTTGAAATATGTTGGCCACCGGAAAAAGCTCAGGGTTAACATTGCAAAACATAAATCGCATCGAGCACATTTCATAAACAGATTCCAAAGTGCTGCACAGAAAAAAAAAAAAAAATTGTAAACATGAGTAATGAAAATTGAAATCACAACAGCCGTCTTTTTTCAGTCAAATCAAGTAAGTAAGTAAGTAAGTAAGTAAGTAAGTAAGTAATCTTTATTTATATACCGCCTTTCACAGACCAGAGTCACAAAGCGGTTTACAATTGTTATTTTTGGGCACTTGTCCTCTCACTCCACAGAGAGATGGGAGCGGGGTCGCCGAACAGGAGGCGCATGCCAATATATTTTAAAAAAGAGATACGAAATAAATAAAAAGTAAGCTAATAAAAAATGAAAAAACATGGATAAAAATACGCAACGATTAAACACGATTATGTGTAATGAAAAAAAATGTAAAAAAAAGACATTACAGGACAACCAATATAGTTTGTTGTCATGGCGATACAAATAAAGAATTATACTTGTTTAGACCAATAACCTTTTTTATTCAATTATATTTTTCCTAATAATGTATATAGGAAAAGCAAGGTATGGCAAGTTTATATGTATAGCACAGTTCAGACACAAGGCAATTCAAAGTGCTGGACAAAACAAGAAGACAGGGCTTTAATATCAGATTCATTGGCTTTCCTACAAACCAATCGACTGCTTCAGCCTTTACCAATACGACAAAACAAATCCTAAAAGTTCTCAAAGTGCAGATACTTGTGGGTCTGGGCATTTGTCGTCATGGAAACTTTGTGATGTTGATCTACTCTGAAGAGCTCTGCACTAAATGGATGTTCATGTAAATAGTACAAGAACAGGACGTTTTTACAGACAGAGGAACTTTTGTCCTCATTCAAAACGTTATAAACATTTGGTCATTTGAATAATTGGTTCTTTTATTTAAAGATTCTAAAGATTCTAAATACTCATTTGACCCTTTTTGTGTTTTTGTTTAATCCTATATGAAGTTATATCAAGACCACATGTATATATTCTCTTTGTTGACGTTATCCCTCTTCCATTCAAGAGTGCCCCATAAAAAGGTTTCAGAGATAGTTATCTGGACTTGGTTGGACATATGATTCCGTCCAAGAGTTTTTCCCAATGTTAAATGCAAACCGATCTGAAAGCTGGTTGTACTCTGTAGTAGAAAGACCTGGAACTTGCTTTTGGTCCTTGAGTATCATCAGGCTGGGTTTCGTCTAAATTGTAGAGACCATGGATCTTTCACAATCTTTTTTTGGCTGTTGTTAATTCAATATGGCAGAGCTGGTTATCAGGGATTTGAAAGTAAAACCAAATCTAAAAAACAAACCACACTAGAATACATGTGCACTGGGAGTTTCCACACAGTTTGTACTTATTGCCAAACGTTTGTTGACCCATTATATTGAGAAGTATTTGTTATAATATTCTCACATTATTTTGGTTGTTTTATTATCTTTCCTGTGTGGAAGTTATACATTTGTTGTATTATTCTTCTGAAGGTTTATAAAAAAACTATTCATTCCTATTGAAAGCCACAGGTGTCAGCTCTCAGATTCATTTGGATTTATGTTTTTTTTCTGCTACAGAGACTGAGATATCAATCATTTATTAAACATTGAAATGCAGGAAAATTTCAGGTTTTAGAGAGTGATTCTAAAGTCGGCCATGGGTTTTACAGGTGTGTTTTACCAGGTGTGTCAGGCCTAAATGGGTTAAAGGGCTTTGTTCTGTCTGATAACCGCTTGTGGAAAGACGCTGTTTGCATATCGAGATGTGCATCTCAGCGAACGATATCTTCTGCCAGAGGGAAGAAGCTGGAACATGGCTTTTTCCAGGGGCCAGAAGAGTCATGGATATTTTGAAGAGTGTGGTTTAAGAGTCTGTCTAAGCAGGCTGCTCACAGCTCACGGCCCTTTGTTTGGCTGTGATGTTACCAAACCACAGTCACAGAACCCACAAGCAAACTTTCAATGATGCAGCAATAAATGTTGAGCAGAATTTGTGATGAATTCTTTAAGTTTAAGCCGAAAGAAATAGATGCCGACGAGCTTTCTTGAGTTTTTGTCCCGTTTCAGTTCATTACATTTATATTGTTATGGGCGGCACGGTGGCTGAGTGGATAGCACTCTCGCCTCTCAGCAAGAAGGTCCTGGGTTCGAATCCCGGTCGGACCAGGGCCTTTCTGAGTGGAGTTTGCATGTTCTCCCCGTGTCTGCGTAGGTTTCCTCCGGGTACTCCGGTTTCCCCTACCACTAAAAATATGTCCAATAGTTCTGGCATGCGCCTCCTGTACTGGCGACCCCGCTCCCATCTCTGTGTGGAGTGAGAGACAAATGCCCAAAAATTAACAATTGTAAACCGCTTTGAGACTCAGTTCTGCAGTGAAAAGGCGGTATATAAATAAATACTTACTTACTTACTTACTTACTTACTACTACTTACTAATTGTTGTTTACAGTTATTTACATTATGATAAAAAATATCAATATCACATAGACTAATGAGCATCCAGAGAAATGATGTCCTATAAAGAAGTATAGTGTGATCTGTTTAACAAATATCACTAAGTTGATGTAATTATTGATCATTCTTATTACACAGACACTCTTTTATATTTCAGATGTGTTTGGAGCACTGACTGTAGAACTTTCACTTTGTCATTTCTCACCATTGACTCCAAAACTGTTGTGCTGTTTTGTCCTGTGCAGATCTCTCTTGTGTTAATGTTAGTTCTATGTGTGTGGTTGTAGAGAAGGTTCCCTCTTGTGACCAGGAGCGACAGAGTGCTCTGGATGAGTCGCGGCTGAACCCTCGTGAGGCCATCTTCATCCCGGACTGTGACCCCGGGGGGCTGTACAAGCCAGTGCAGTGTCACCAGTCTACGGGCTACTGCTGGTGTGTGCTGGTGGACACGGGACGTCCCATCCCCGGCACCTCCACCAGGTTAGGGAAAACTCTACTCTCTGTTTGTCTTTGCCTGGGTAGACTCCACAGACACATCACAGATCAAAAGTGTTTTTTATTGGCAGTGCTCTCTCCTTTGGTGTAATGGACATTCTTTTGTGTTATTTTTGTGACTGTCATAGATACCAGACTCCAGAATGTGACAACGCTGCTCGCTCGCGTATCACAGACTCAGAGGACCCTTTCCAAGGCAGAGAGATCACAGGTAAAATTACAATATTTTTAAATTAGGAGGCAAGTGGAGGTTGAGAAGTACTGTATATGATACTTCTGTACTATTAGAAATATTGCATAAAGATTCTCTACTTTTCGGGTGGGTGTTCCGCCGCTAACTTGTCTAAATGGATTGGAGAAAGTATTAAGTTAGAAGGGAATATTACAAGCAATAAATACATCTGCACTTGTGCAAGTTCATTTATGACACAGTAGCTTACTGTGCCATACTGTGTAACATGTCGAGGTCATTGGCTGGTGGCCTACACACTCCACTGGACGTTATATGTGTGTCTGTGTGGGAAACAGTCTATGGTTGGAGCATATACGCTGATCAAAGTATAAATGATCTACTAAACCCCAGAATTAACTGAATTCTAAAACTGTGTAGAGTTAACGCCCTGTAGTCAGGGTCCTTGTTGGTCTGTGTTGGGACCCAGGCTGTAACTCTTATTTAATTCCCATCTGGTGAGTTTACAGAGTAGAGCATGACTCCTGACTGAGAGGCAGATGTGCTGTGGTTTTCTGAAGTGTGAGAGTGAGGGGGGGTGAGGGGCTGTAGCAGAGGAGCCCCCACCACAGGTTACTGCTGGAGACACATGGATATGAACTGAAGCTTTGAAGATGGGACTATGTTCTGAGATCAACTTCAATAAAATAAATTGTTAGAATCATTTTCTAAATACAAAAAAGTCACGATAGCATCCAGCAGGCAAGTTCCTGGATGGATATCCTGGTTTTCAGATTCCCATTTAATTCAATATTTTGATTATTCAAGTATTTGTTCCTCCATCTAAAATAAATATATGGTTTTGAATTGTCAATCACTAGTCCAATGATCCGTTTAGTCATTCTAAAACAGACATTTGAAACCCATAAACAAGCCACATTTTGAGGAGCCTTTCAAAATATTTGTTTTGTTAAAGACCATGGCATCAGTCCTAAATTTCCGACGTTTTGAAACCCAGGGAAATTGCGTTTGTTTTGAGTCATCCAATGCATGAGTCAGCAGGGCATCAGAGTCAAAAGTGAGTGCAATAAAAAAGTTTGTCCCGACATTTGCTATAAACTCAAATATTTTCAAGGGTAGTGTATTGCCAATGGTCCAGCCCAATTCACACGCCAGATTATTTTCTTTTCTCCAACATAACGCTGTGTTTAACTCCTCGTTTAAATCCTCAATTTAACACTTGGATTAAGGCCAAACCAGGCGCTGTTGTGTCGGACATGTTAATTGGACTCACCTGGCGACGAGGGCACCGGACCACCTCGCACACTGTAGCATGAACATGGACCAAAATAGTGGGCCAGGGGAGGGGCTAACCGCGCAGCTGCGTTTGAAGTGCACCTTTAAGAGACACAATTAGGAGGGAAAAATTTGCACTGCTTTGACATGCTATTAAAGCCATACATCTGGACAATTAACATGCGCTACCCAAGGTGTTCTGAATCATGCCATAAAAGTTAACAGGTCTGCACACTGCACACTTTCTACTCCACCAAGCTCCATGTGCCTGGTCACCGAAGCCTTACAAAACAACCAAACAATGCACTTCCTCCGCTCACACTGTCTGATTCACCTGTTATTCTGCTATACAGCGGATATAGGAGTTTATTACAGCGCTGTGCCATGTGTCTGTAAGCTTTAATGGCTCAAATTAGTTGAAGAAGGTAATTGTGCTGTTTGTCTTCAGGCTGCCCAGAAGGGAAGAAAGTGGAATTCATTACAAGCCTGTTAGATGCCCTCACCACAGACATGGTGCAAGCCATAAACTCACCTGCCCCCTCTGGTGGTGGGAGGTAAGTTCAGATGAGACAGTAGATCTTGCATGCCTCTGTTTTCAGCTGATGGGCTGCGCCAAAAACTCCTCTAAACCCGGAAACACACAGTCTGGAATCTAATGTGGTATTTATGTGATTTTTATCCTCTGATGGTAAAGTTGCCCATTCTTCTTGGCAAAAAGCCTCCAGTTCCTATAATTTCCTGGGCTGCCTTGCATGAACTTCACTATTGAGATCTCCCCAGAGTACCCTGTATAATCCAAATTTTCAACTATAACACTTTTCTGGGAACTTGATGTGAGCCAATGGAACAAACTCCCGCTTACTGCAGTGGGTGCACCTGATATGTAAAATACTTTTGGCCACACGTAATCTTTTCTGAGGTAGACTGAACTGGTTGTGTTAATTTCTTATATAAATTAAAGGAGCAGAATGTAAAAATATGGCCAAAAATGGTACTGCAACCTCTCCCACTCCCCCTACTTCAGGTTGCCAGATATGCGGACAAATCCAGCTGGGACCATAATATCTGAATAGACAGGGTTTTTTGTCAACAACAAATCTATAACCAACACCTTTTTCACAAAAGCCCTGATAGAAATCCTGGTTTTATTCTTTGTTTTGTTAATAATGATTTGAGAAACATAACAAGATATTTATTTAGTACTGTGGCCACATCTTACTTTACCAGTGAGATTAGCTCGACGCTGTGAGTTCTGGCAACCAGGATCACAGACTCTCTGATTGGTAAAACGGTGGAGGGCGGGACATTGAAATGAAAACAATAACAAGATTTAGGGGCTGCAAAACTATTAGTGAAAATGGAATATCTTGGCTGAACTACTGTTATCAGTTAAATTATCATTGTAAAAGAGCATGGTTTATTTATACCTTTTGACCGATTAGGGCCATTTAATGATGACTTGACATGAAAATCTTACATATTGCTACTTTAAAGCTGCACTAACTGACTTTGGGATTTTGAAGCCGCGGACTCGCTGGCCTCGCTCTTTCTGCTCCCCTCCCCGCACCCACGAAGCTATTGCCCCCCACACACACACAGTGTTGAGACGGAGCTAGCGTCTCCCAATATGGATAATACATGGATATGGATTTTCACGTGGATGGCGTGACCATAGAACGATAGAACCGGGAAGCGCGGAGGAACGGGACTTTCTTTTGGATGGCTGTTTCGCTGTGTAAGCAGTAACCGGTGACGGAGACGAGAAAGTTTCAGGTTAGCTCCGCCGCTTGTTGTGCTAACTCAGCTGTCTGTGCTAACGGACCTGGAGATGTCTCATGAAAGTGGGAGCTAGTGGTCCGCTGTGATTGGTCACAATCTGCGACCCGAAACACATTCTCTTCCTTGTTTCATCAAAACTCGATCTAAAATATAATGTCAGGCCAGCACAAATCTGCGCTACTTTTTCTTCAAAAGGACGTATATCCCAATGCACTACATGGACATGGATAGCATTTACGTAATTAATACGAAAATAAAGTCAGTTAGTGCAGCTTTAATTATATTCATTTATTCCATGGAAGCTTATATCTAATGTACACTGCCCTTGACAAGTTCATACTATAGTTAGTCCACAATCTTTTATAGCCACAACATACATTTTACAACAGTATTCCGCTTTGTCCTTGGCTTGTCGTAGGTTTGTTGAGCCTGACCCCAGCCACACTTTAGAGGAGCGGGTGGTGCACTGGTACTTCGCTCAGCTGGACCTCAACGGGAGCCACGAGATCAACAAGAAAGAACTGAAACCTTTTAAGAGATACCTAAAGAAGAAAGCCAAGCCCAAAAAGTGTGCGCGCAAGTTCACCGACTACTGCGATCTGAACAAGGACCGGGCCATCTCCCTGCAGGAGTTGAAGGGCTGTCTGGGAGTCGGCAAAGATGGTAAGGAGCTAGGAAACGAAACCAGGAGACAGGAGGTAGGAGTTAGGGGGTCACATGAGGTCATTACATCAGTGTGAACCAAAGGCCAGCAGGGTCATGCTAATTTGTCTCGCCGAAATCATTTCAAGCAGGAGCAACAAAGACAAATAATGGAAGTGCAATGGAAAAAGACATTGAATGGATGTATTTTGGTAGCCAGGGCCTTCCCAAACCCTCTAATACAAGGATACTATGGAAGACAAGCTAATATTTTGGATCCCAGAGACATTTACTTAATTCTAACTCTCCAACCACAGCTATTTTGACCAATGAATCTATGAAAATTCTTTTATTGCCAATTTAAGTAACAGGAAGTCACAAACGAGGAGTTCCCTTTGGTATATGGTGCAAACAAGTAATGAAATAGACAAAAAATTTGATTATAATTCTGGTTACTGGTAACACTGTTGTTGTTGTTGGGCAGGAAAATACAAAATACAAATATATTTGAGTTATTGAATTGAATTAAAATAATGTACTTTTAATTGGTAATGAGAAGAATATTAATCCCTATATTCTTCTCATTGCACCTGTTGAAAACATTCAGAACCGTCAAATTACTAGAACATGGTTAAATTACCACTTTTGGGATCTTTCGTCCATATATTTTAGTACAAAGATCAGAAGTATTGTCTCAACACTACAGCTATTTGTTTTGCTCTCTTTTTATTCCTACTGTTTTGTGATATGCCGGCAACACTGGCAATTCCCCATTTGATCTCTTTCCCCTGCACTTTTTTTCTTTAAACTAATAAATTGTATGTTACAGATGAATCCAAACTGCATTTATCTCTTTGGCAGGTAATGGAAACCAAGGGACGCGGCAAGGGACAAATCTATTCAGTAAGGCACTTTAATTTGCTTTCACTTCATTTGGCTCGGCCCAGAAGGCATAAATATCACTGGATGCACAGTTCACCATGTCACCAATAATATGTGGTAATTTCAATAGTATAATATTGTTCTTGAATAGATGCCACGTGTTTGTGTGGGGACATTGGAGTACATGTTTTGATGCTGTAAATTGTAAGAAATACTGCCTCAGACAGATTTATTGGCTGTTATAAGCGACTGAAAATATTGCGTGTTATGGTGTGATATGAACCGTTTACACATAGCTCATAAAACCATCTTTTTCTCTGCACTAAATCTAGTTTTGTCGTAGGATGTAAATTTTGTAACGCAACTTGTCGTCGGCTGTCATCAAAGCTGCGTGGAAGCTTTATCTGTGCGACTCCTGTATATTTGAATGTGTTATTAGTCTCGTTGGCCCGTTCAGCTCCACTTCAGTCTGAGCTCATATGTTTAGACTGGTGCTGGCACACAGAGGCCATCACGTCACCCCTCTCAGGCCTGGGCAGGGCTGCTGTGCCAGGGTAAACAGCAGCAGGTATTGGACGAGCTGAGAGGAGGCTACTCTCAGGGCGCATTCACACTAGCTGCGGTCTGGTTCATTTTAAAGGTGCATTATGCAACCTTTTATGTGGAGAAAATATATATATATATCTGGTTGCGGATTTAACCTTGTTGTGACCCAGCTACAGTATGAGTGGTCAGTATGCAGACTTTACTTTCCATGTACGTGGTCTCTAGGCTGCTATAGGATAATTGTTTTTTAGGAATTTCAAAGCTGGCGGACCCCCTTACTATAAAAAAATTGATCCTGGAGGTCTGTGGTGAAGACACAACTGTGAAATGATGCTCACTCCTACAGCCAAATACAAACTTTTTTCCATATAAAAAAATTGCATATCCATCCATCCATTTTCTACCCCTTAATCCATTTCTGGGTCGGGGGTGGCAATCAGAGAGGCCACCAAAGTCACATACTGTAGCACCTGCCCCTAAAAGTTGCATAATGCACCTTTATCTTGACCAAGTCTGGTTCACGTGGATGAATAAAATGCTTTGCAGATCTGTTTCAACAGATTTGTCACATCTTTAGATAATCTTTTTCAGACAGAAAACTGAAAAGAGAGAACCACTTTCTAAAGGGCAAAGCGTCAATGAGTAACATGAGCACTTTCTTAAGAATGTGAAAGAAAACATGTTTTTAATTAGATGAAGACGACATTGTTGATCTGTTTTTTTTACTAAATACTTACTTTTAAATAACTATTTCTGTTGGGACAAACAAAACATTTACCTTCGCTTTAAGTTATTTGTCTCCTTGATAAATGAATGTCTTATGATTCAGTTTATATTTCAGTCTTGAAGAAAAAAATTCTATCTACCTGCCTTGATGCCTCTGGGCCTAAAAACATTGGGCAGACTTTCCCATGACCCATTGTACTGGTACCGGCAGCAGCAGCAGTGAATCCACTCTGGAGTATAAACGATTTACACAAATATGATGTTTTACCATGAACAACATGTCAAATCACCTCATTACATTTTGAGCCATGACTCGTATGTGAGTAAACAGTGTGACGGTTATAGCTACTGGCTCCTTTTGCCTTGACAGCTTTATACATCTTTATATGACCACTGGCTGACGCATGCCGCATAAATAACAAAAAGAGATGAACAAAACAGAGATGCACATGTGGCGCCCTGACAAAGACAGACGGGGAACAGAGCAGGTATGAGCGGCTGGATCTCTTTAAGTCGCGCTCGGGTTGCCAGGTTTTAAATCTTATCATGTGCGTGGTTCGTTCGGGACTCTCACAGCAGTGCAGCGGTTGGACATATTTACAGTTTACGGTACGTGCTTTTGTAAGGAAGTGGACCACAGCTGTGAGAGGCCACACTTACAGCTCACTGGCACTGGGAAGAGAATGTGCTTATGGCGGAAAATTCTGGTCTAAATAAATAAACCCTGTATCTAGTCAATCAAATGAAAATGATTTTGTCTTTATGTAAGCTCTAAGGTTTTTCATATTTGATTAGCATTTTATCATTACATTTTAGAAAATGAAAAATAAATAATTGTGACTATGTGTAGTGATTGAAGTAGAAGAATACAGTACCTCAAGAAAACCTGTCAGGGGCCCCCAAAATATGTGTGAAATTAGATTATAAGTAATCATTTGTGTCAATCAAATGAGGCAAACTGTATAGTGTTAATAATCATCATATCTCATGTCAAATAATTGGTGGAATACCATGAAAAGTGCTGAATATTATCGTGAAATAATCTTGCATTCCCACAGCATAGGTACGGCTAGTTTATTTGTATTACACAGTATAGTACAGTTCATACAAAAGACAAAGATCAGTATTTTCAGACTAATCTATATATTCAGTATATACAAAATATAATGCAAACAAGTATATAGCATTTTAGCGTGAGAATCCACCCCTTCAATGCAATAGAATAGAAATGAAATATGTATTTTCCACCATTAATAAAGGCCACATTGCGAGTCCACCATCATTTTGAGAAATATTTATGATGGAGCTGAAGAATTTTGGCAGAAGTGGATTTATGAAGGAGAGATTCCAGATCCACTTAACTCTACTCTCTTATAACACATTAGCAAAACAAGAAGTCTCATCTATGTGACTCTATCCAGGCCTGGGACTAGCTCCAGTAGGCCGTAGAAACAACAAACAAGTCACTGCATAGTTACGGTGTTGGCCTCAAAGTTAAGACATGTAAACACGTGCTTGCATGCAAAACTTCACGAACCCAGTACTTTTTTATACTCACTATTGGCCTTGTACAGAACTGGCACACAAAACAAACAATAATTATTTTTGACAGTGAGTATTTACAACCTGTCCAGCGTAGAGAGTCCTGGTTTGTGTTTCCCGCTCATCTCTGTCACTCCATAGGAATGAATGGGGCACATTATGAGGCTGGCTAAGACCTGCAGCTCTGCTTAAGTCCTGTCTCAGTTTAAGTCTATGCCAAGAGCATTACTCCACTCACACTTGTGCCTAATGAAGCTGACATCAGTCTGAGAGCACAGACGTCAACATGCTATCTTACATAGTATAGTATCTACATGTTTCGACAGATTTAGAATGGGAAGGGAGTGAGAATGAGTGACGGACACATTTGATCTCTATTGTTTTTCTGTACAGCCTATGCATATCCACATCTGGCTTAGTTAGAAATTAGAAACAAAAACAGTTAATTATATTGGCATCATAAAACAACTTGTCACGCTACACATATAATCAATTTCATTTGTTTCTGTTTATCACATTGACATGTCTGCATTGAGGTATCTCTATATCACATATCCAATCAAATAACGTGCACGGACTGCCGCTGTACGCCTGCTGCCTGGCCCTCAGGGAAGTCAACTTGATGCTGATTGGGTAATGCCACAGGTTTGTTTTCATTAAGTTTAAGCTAACATGGGCCAGCACTGTAGCTTCTGAAGGCCTAAAGACAGATTGTAGACCCTGTGTACTGGCAACACATGATGCTGAATGATGATAAAAACTCGCCAGTCCTCTAATTGTCGACACAGGGCTGGAAGCTGCCCAACCAACTCTGAAATGAAGAGTATAGACTTTGGAGAATAATTTAATACATATTTCTGGAAATATACATTTAAAAAAATATATATATATATTTATTCCTGATTACTTTTAGGCCAGCAGAGAAGGCCTTGCTAACTAACTTAAGTTGTAAGTGATGGCGACTGTATAAGTCTGTAATTAATGAATAGATTCATTAATTAGTTTCAATCACATGTACATAAACCAGTGTTCCCAATTGGTGTTTCGGGGACCAATAAGTGGGCTATAGGATAATGAGCGAGTATGTCACTAGCAAAAATGACCCTTGATTTAAGAAAGTATATGAAGACATATAAATTCAGATAATATTAGATAAAAATAAACAAATTTCTATGCCCCATTGGTGGATTATACTTAACTCAAAGACAAATGTACTTATTTTTATAGAGAAGATTTGATACATTAAGATTTTTTTTATTATAAATTGTTCAAAACTTGGCCTGGCTCCAGACCAAACTTTTGCCCCGCCTACATGAAATTTCAGCTGCCCTGTCCGCTGAATTTTCTACAATTTTTCAAAGCTTATAACAATATGCTGTATTTTACATTATACAAGATTGCCGTTAAATGTTGGTGGGTCCTATCATCAGTCCAGTTGAGAACCACATAGACTGATACAAATGGGATTAAATGGCCACTTTTCATTGGCATCATAAATCATCCATTTCTTCTTTTTCATTCATGAATTGAAATATACTCAAGTTTGTTTTTTCATTTAAGGTTAGACAAATAAAACATTTAAGAGGCCTCTATAGTCTGAGCTGTCCGCTTCAGAACTGTGTGCCAGTCCGGGGCCCTCACTGCCACCATGATAAGCCATGTCCCTTGATTCCCAGCCCCAAAGCCAGCACTTCTGTATGGGAGCGTCCCAAGTGAGAGCGGCTGATTCACGGCAGGACAGGCTCTGCTTTCTCCTCTTTATCTCAAGTGGGGCCGAAGTGTCCAGGGAGAGGCTGGGGTTTTGTGCTGGTAATGCTGCAGACAGTGTCCACAGTGACTGGGCTGGACAGAGCAGCAGTAATTACAAAGATCCAAACAACAAAGAGGTTTATCTGAGTGCTAAATGAGGGCTCATTAAAATGTCAGGGCGCAGACTCACTTAACAGCATCCTGGCAGGACGGGCAGCCTGACCCGGCGAGTGGCTGCGATGCTAAGGAAACTGAATGAATTACAATTTATAGAAATATTATCACTCAAATTAGAGATTACTGTTCAGGTCTCTGCAAGCCTAGGGATTTGTACTGCCTCAAATGTTATTGCTAATTTACTGCCTGAATCCACATCATAATTCTTCAATGCCATGACTTTTTGTCGTTGCAATTTTCAACAACTAGCATGCTAAATGAGGACCAGAATTACTTCACAATTCACAGGCAGTAAAGAACGCATTAAGTACCTGTAGTAAGAGCTGCTGTTTGTATGAACAGGTGAAACTCTGAAAATCAGAATATTGTTCAACAGCCAATTTACTTCTGTAATTCAACTCACAATGTGAAACTAATTGTTAAAAATGATAGTCTATCTTATTTGTTTCACTTTATAAGAAGAGTTGAAGGAATAAATTCACTGTTGAACAATATCCTACATTTTGTGACAGTGGCACAGTTGAGCATCGGCCTTTGAGCCTGAAGGTTGTGGGTTCGAGCCCACCATGAGACCTTCTCCACCGACTCCCACTGATGTCTGCTGCCGTTGTGTCCTTTGGCAAGACACGTAACCCCACTTTGCCTGAAGCCCCCGCCGAAAGATCAAGGCTAAGCCATATAGCAGCCATCCTCCTGTGGACTCACCACCTGCAGGAGGATCAGTGAGGGGCCCAGAAATGGATGAAGGGGTAGAAAATGGATGGATGGATGGATTTTGACAACTACTATAATTGTAGTAAAAACTATGCAAACATTGTGATTGAGTATGAAAAAAAAAACTGTCCTCAGCCATAGCATACGTCACAGTCCAAAGCCTGTTAGTTTCCAAAACTATAGATTCCAACACTATAAGTCCACACAGTCGGCCGTAATGTTTTATCTGCCTCACTTAAAGTATATGTGAAGACAGGTCCAGCGGCGCAGCTCCTGTCTGTGGACTAACCAGTGATTTATGGAGCAGTGAAAGGCGTGCGGTGCGTGACACACACCGGGGTCTGAGCTTCAGACCTGGTCTCTCAAAGTCCAATGAAATCAGCTGCACCTCCATTTCACAGGCAACATAAGCTTTGTCAGACGCACACCTGCACCTCTCCTCCCCTGCTGCTCCTGCAGAACTCATGTGGGTCAAACTCTGAAAGAACTAAAGCAAATTGTGACTTTCTTGACACAATTTCTAATTATCATGCAAAGCAATTCAATATCATTTAAATGTCAAGAGATCAATTGTTTTTAATACTACAAAACTAAAACCACTGAATTATTGAGATGGTTTGTTTATGTATAGTTCTTAAGTCTCATGGGGCACTGGCATCATTCTCTCGCCCGACAACGTCATCTTCACGATTCTGGTCAGAATGTGAGTCTGAAACCAATCCATTGGGCTGTGAGTTTCGGGTGTGTTTCAAGCGAAAAAAACAATGCCTCTTCGCTTTATTAGAAGGTCCAAAAACCAACGTGCATTCCCACACTCCTCATTTCAGTGTAATTACACTTCTTAGGCATATTAGCTGATATGGCAACCTCAAATGTTTTCTGGAAGCCAGCTCGAATCTCAATCAGGCAGGGTGTCGTGTGAGAAAATGTTATGTCGCTGCTTAGTGGTTTAGAAGTCGTTTAGAATTAATAATATGTACAAATCCTGTTTGATCGATTAGAATATCCCAGGTATATGAGATGATTTTCTTCTTCCGGGTGGATCATCAAGACTATTGGTCCTCCTAATTGTCAATCATTCTAGTGATGCTTGTCAAACAAGACCAGAGAGTTTTTTCAAAAAGTGGAGAGGGTGGTTCTTTCCGAATATTTTGGGAACTCCTCCCACATATCTTTAACAGAAATAATTTTGTTTTTTTCTTTAGTTGCTATGAATCATTGATAACATGGTAGAAATGAAAGTGAACTATGATGTAAACAAGGTAGAGGAGTGTGTCATTTGTGCCCATTGCCAATTTACACCCAGTTTTCTTTAAAACTCTTATTTACTGTCTCATTTTGGTTGGTTATGATGGTTGGATATGGTGGATAAATTAGATAAATAATTATGGAAATAAGCGACTGGATCAGCTGGCCTGGCCTTTTGTCACCATCTGGAAGCAATCTGTATCCATCTTTTTTCAGCTTGTCCGTGTCTCTACCGTTCACATCGTAGCCCCAAACTCACCCGTCTGATTGATGAGACAGTGGTCCATTTTTTGTCCAGTGTGGTTGGAAACACATGCAGGACAATGTAAAACAGCTTGACGTATATCGGACCAACCAACGTGCACCTTAGCACTTGTTTTTCAGAGATGGCTTCAGAAAACGAGAGATGGACAGGAGGAAAGTGCATCATGACTTTGATCCACTTTACATTGTGATAATAATTTAATTGTTGAGTATTGTTGGTAAAAGTTTAGGTCTACATTATTAACATGTGCGTGTATATCTATGGACAAAACTCTCACAGGATGACAGTTTTAAAAGCATGAGTGAGGAGGGTTGAGCAAACTCTACTGAGCGTATTAAGCAGAAATGGAGTATGGAGATGGTAGAAATGTTTCAGGACAATTTCAGGATGAATATTGACTCATAGATTTAAGGCTCAAACTGTTAAAGATGAGAATAAAGAAAAGTGTGAACTATTGTGTAAAACAACTTTCCTAAATGGTGTGGGTGTATGTACTGTAGTTGCCAGATAGGTGAGGAAGGGAATGTTGCTCGAACGGTAAATAAAGAGCTTTGCCTTTGGAATCAGCGCCCTCTTCACCACAACAGTCTGATACAGCTCTGACTGCAGACGCTGCTCCCTCTTCACCACATGAGTCCGATATACCGACTGCATCACTGCACTGATCTGTCTGTCAATCACGCTCCTTCCTTCCCTCAGCAGAATGTGTCATTTAAGTGATATTTCATCCATATTTTTCAGAGTATAGTAACCATCAATTAAAACTGTTACAAATATGGTAGGTTTGTTATTTATTTTGAAAATACCAACTGATTCTGATTCTATTAAATTCTAAATGATAACACTAATGTTCTAATGGTTTAGTTTCCTCAAATTCTTGTGTAAGGTCTTGCAACACATTTTCTCATAGAAAATTCATTCAAATCGTATTCTCTTCGTCTCTCCTCCGTGACTGAGTACAAAGCAGCATCAGTTAACATGTGTCCTCTGTCCCCACTGTCTGTGTGTGTGCGTTCGCAGTTGGTCGTCTGGTGTGAGGGTCAGCACAGAGGGACCCCACCTGTCCACGCGCTGCAGCAAATCTCCAAACAGGAGCTGAACATATGAAGCCTGTGATTTATGAAAAGAAGTGAAGCAGCGCCAAAATATTTGCACTTTCTCCTCCCCAGGCCGACTTCGTACCTGTATGTACTGTATGTGTTATGGAAGTGACTGAAGGTCTAAAAAGAGAATATATTTGTGAAGAAGACCACTGGAAGAGCTAGAGCTGACACATTCCCTGTCTGGTGTATTGTAATGTAAAAACAGTGTTTTTGTTGTGGGTTATAAAAATATGTGATGTCAATTCTACATTTTCGTGTTTCAAATAAGGTCCAGTAGAAAGTATACAGGATGTATTGTTGATAACAGATAGGGCTTGACAGGGCTAGTTATTTTGCCAACTGGGTTTTGGAATAAATAGTGATCACAGGATTAAGTAAAAAACTTTAAGATATGTTTAAATCTGTCTGTACATTATGAATACAGGGATGATTCAGGCAAGATCGAATCCTGGTTTTAAAAAGACCAAACCAAGTGTGAAGGTCCAACAGTGACATTGATTACTAAACTAAAATATACCTAATTGTGGACGTGGATGGTGCGCTAATGTCAAGCCCTGTAACAGACAACATTTGAAGCTCATTGTCATTTTCACTGAAGGAAATTGGATTGGTTACGTAGGATTTCAGCTGAAGATGCTTTTAGTCTGCACTGATGAAACCAGTGAATACGAACCGACTGTTGTTTAGAGAACACAAAACACCGTCCACATTTGGGCTCTGTCACATCTTACACAGAAGTCTTTTGAGTTCACAAGTGCCATTGCATCTTAATGTTAAAGATTGTTCCAGCCTCCAAGGTCGTCTATTCCTGAGGCACATTCACAAGTACAACATTTATTCTGTGGACGCACCTGTGAGACTTTGATACTGGTCTGAACTATACCCTTGTTTCAGTTTAACTTTCAGACTAAACAATGTGAACTATGAATGCATAATAAACCAGTATTTCCACTTGCCCACTACAGAGAAAAGAACACAGTATCTCCTTTTGTCAGATGCTATGACCATTTTTATTTTATTTTTGTCGTGACTGCAAATTTATAATCAACTTTTCCCAAAAATTAGACATAAAACACCACCAACAAGTGTCATAAAGTTGAAATGAAGCATATCTGTGTTTGCCTTATCTGAAAGATGTGGCCTTTCTTATCACTCTGTCCTGACGTCTGACCACACATGGACTTGTCTGTCGCCATGAAAGCAGCACTGTGGTCAGAACACACATGAACTCTGTCATTAATGTAAAGATTAAACTGCCCATTTTTGGAGCAATTTGTTTTAAGAATGAGGCTGTTGTGGTTTTTTCTATTACTTTGGTTTTCATTATTTGCTGACACAATAATTCAACAATTATTTGCGTAACCACAGAAAAAAACTACAGAATTAAAGTTTGGAGGTATGGAGTTCATTATCCCCAATTGAAGGTGTGATAGTGTGTATTTGACTTATCCTTCATGACTGACTAATAAGAATGCAATAGCGCCCCCAGCTGCACAAGGTGCAAACTGTCCACCATGACTAAGATTGACTTAAACAATACCTCAATATTTTTTTAACCAAGCAGCAGTGAAAGTAAAAAACAAATATAGCAAGTGGGTGAAAAGTACTACAAAAGTAAAATCTGTGTTTTTTGTGCACAAACAGGATTAGTGCTGATGAAAGGGAAGCAACAGCAGCTGCCGCACATCTGTCTTATTTAGTGTTCAAAATAACAGTTGCAGAAGTAGCAAAGTTGTTGCCCCTCTGCACACGGATTATAGGAGTCAAACTGAAAGTAAAACTGATTTGCCTTTTGTCTCTAAACATCACTGGATTTTCATGGCTGTGAATGACCTGAGTATCTTTTGATGAGTCCAAATATCTTTGGATGAGTCCAAAATCCATTATGTGTGTGTTTTTACTTTATGTCTTTGCTGAGCCATGAACCATTTATCTGCAGATTGATCATTACAGGTAATTGCTGTCTAATAGCTTGTGCTCTGGTCTATAGCCAAACATACGCTGTGGGATGAGGGCCCCTCTGTAGACCTGCACCTGCTTCAACATGGATCAGTCCCAGGACCAGAGGTGATGATCCACCATGATTAGTTCCATTAGTTCCATGATTAGTTCCATGCTGTAGTCTGCATCTACTTATTAAACTATATATTTTTAAATAATCCTAATAGTTATTTTATATGCTTCATACACTATTGTTTTGAACTGTGTGTTCCCCTGGTTAGTATAAAAAGGTTCCCTTGTAAAATATTGAATACGAGTTCTATGTTAATAATACCATTTGAAAAGCGTATGCAGCGGATAAACACAGACTATTGATGCAGATAAACTAAATTAATACAATATTGATGATGATTTTTTTAATATAGATCCCACTTTCCACCAAAACATAATAACAAAACAAAACAAACTCAAAATGTAGATGATTTTGGTCAACGTCAGAAATGTACACGTATCAAAGACGAACATGACATTGTCTTGGATTTTGCAGCTTGTGAAGAGCAGTAAAAATTGTGTTCAGTTATGGTCTTGATTCTGAAGTTGAAAGCTGAGACTTTCCCTACTCTGATTATTTTCAACTTTTAAAGCCATAACACAGCTAACTGACACTATGAAATCTGAAATATCCCATTAGAAAACAACAGTCTGCTTAATGTAAGTATAGAGCCTGAGCCAGGGTCGGTATGATTCATTAAAAAGTTGTGGATTCTAATAAAAGTCATCTGTGCAAATCAAAAGAGCCTGACCGCAAATGCCAGCGAGGGATCGTAAAATAATAATTATATAAACAACGTAGTAAGAATTGACAATGCATTCTTTGCTGTACTGTGCAATAATGTCAACTCATAAATAACATAACAACTAAATATGCACGACTTAATTTTGAGGTTATTGTTATTGATATTTTGGGACTCTGTAATGAGATTTTTGCCGTTTTCTTTGTAATACAAAACAATTTTGTAACATAAGATAGACTTTATCTGAAAAAAAAAAAAAATTGTACGGCTAATTATTGCTTTTTTCTGCAGCTCGTGAGCAGTAAATCGTGATACTGAGGTGGCTTAAGGGTTGAGATGCATTGGATTTACCCAAGAAATAAAATGCTACTGCTTTTCTGCAAGGGAAAACTGTCACACACACAAAAATAGCAGCTTGATGTAGATATTATCACAGAAAGTACTTTTTGTCAATGGTTTGAGTCTGTCTGTAGAGCAGCAACATTGAATAACAGGGAATCATTACAACGGACGAAAGCCAAGAAAAAAACTGGCCTATAATCAGTTGGTCCAGTGCATGTAAATGAGCTGTTCGACCTGCGCCATTCTGTCGGAGCTGCCTCAAATTCAGCAGACAGGTGCGACCGCAGGACTCACGAGACGCTCCAGGAACTGAGGGCAGTGAAAGACACGGAGCAGTGAGAAGATGTGTGTCCAACTGGAGGAGCAGAAGGTGAGGCTTATGGCAACGCATGTTTCTGGATCGATCTGATCATTATTATCCTGTGTACAGACAGGGAAATATGTCGAGTTTCATAGAGTTTTGTGCAGCTATTGTTCAACTAAAATTCAAGATGGGGTACCAAAGAGTTTTTGTAAATAATAAATAAGAAAATGTTTCCCAAAAAAGCAGTCATCAAAACATGTTATCTTTAAATGTTCTGTCTGACAGTGTTTTTTCAGCGAAGAAATATGGATTACATTAGTTTCATTTCTTGTGTTTTGAAATTTAGGTACCGCAGCTTTAAGTCAAGTGCACTATATATTTTGCTTGTATCCTATTGTGGCACATTCGTAAACTGGCATTTGATAACTTAGTTATTTAAAGATTTTTTTAGCCACAGAACTTCAGGTAGTATTCACATTTTAATATGGTTATGATATTTTTATCGTTATTGGCCTTCATATTACTATCAATTGAAATGATTTTGTTTTTTGGCCATTGTTGTTTTTTGTGAATTCTAAATGTCTTCTATAAATTCAACTGTATGATAAAATAAAATGAATGTCTTCTATATTGTGTTTTTGCAGCAGACACTAAATGCATCTTGAGTGAAGTCCGAGCCTCACAAATGGCAGAGCAGGAGGTAAGAGCCATTCAGAGAGCACATCCTGTACATGTAGCTGAGGTGTGAAAATGCGGCGGTCTTTGCCATCGGTGACTTTTGTCGTGTGGAGACACATGTGACAGGCCTCTTCACGCAGCTTTGAATTTGCACATTCATTTAGGGAACCACAAGACGTTTTCCGATTTGTAAATCCAATTATTATAGATTTCCAGAGATGTCACTTATATCTGTAGTTGATTAGATAACTGTTATTGATCTCACACAGGAGAAATTTACATGTCACATTTGGCATGGATAGAATCACTCAAGATTTGCGCAAAAAGACAGAAGAGTACAAACATGTTAAAGGCAAAAATTATAGTCTGTGCAGGCAATATTATGTACAATAAAAAGTGGCAATTAAAGAAACAGTGGCAATAGTAGTGCAGGTTTTTCAGTCCTGGTGCAAGTGACTAAAAGTGACTTATTGTACAGTCTGACAGCGGTGGGGATAAATGCCCTGATGGCAAGTTTTACAGTTTTTAGCTTTGTTTTGTGTTTTTTTCTTTCCAGCTATTTTATACTATGAGCTTCGTATTCCCAATGTTCTATCTAACCCACTGTGGAACATATGAAGGTTATTTCTTATCTCATCGTAATAGGATATCACATGCGTAGGCCTCACCAATTTCCGGAAAACTTTGACAATCACATCACTCTGAATTTGAAAATGCATTTGCCGTTTCAGTTTTAGAAATAAGCCTTCTGTCCTAAATCCATTTTGAAAGACATCTTGAAGCAGCAACATTTGATTGAAGCCTGAAATTTGAGCTATAAAGTATGAAATGGTGTTTTAATGGTAAAACAACACACAAGTGAAACATGAACATTAAAAAATGGGTGTATTGAAAATGACATAAGATATAATGCTATTCTACTCTTTCTGATTACATTTTGTGTTACATTTTAAATATTGTGTACCTTTTTTACTGGTTATGTAAACTGTTCTTCCAGAGCCACATGACCATAGTCTTGGTGACCTCTATCCTGGCTACAGTCCTGGGATCTCTCCAAATTGGCTACCACACGGGAAACGTCAACGCTCCGGCCAAGGTGAGCCTAAAGTCACCTAAAGTCAGTCAGGTGTGATCCAAATCTCACACACGTCACTCACATCACGCATGTTTGTAGAAGTGGTTCGGCTCAAACAAAGAACACTAGAGGCAAAAAAGCAGACGGCAAAAGTTCAGCTTGTCTCCTGTTCAAATATACTTCTCCATCTAAGATACACTCAATAAAGTCACATTTACCTGAAATTTGGACTCAGACCTGGTTCACAGCCTTGTACCAAAAAGGTCCACACGAATCCTTGACATCCCCCCTCACTGAGTCTTACTAACATTCTCAAAGTTCACTGCAAGTTTAGCACAACTGATAAGAAAAAGTACAGAATGTAATACCAAACAAAACAACAGAAGCCCAACTGAAATAAATAATGAACAAAATTCAACAATAACATTGCAACACAATATTAAATAAAATCCAATTCAAAATTCAATGATGTTTTGTGTTTCAGTTTTTGAGAGATATGGAAGGCCATTTCTGCAAGTTTTTACGAATATTTGATCTGTAATTCCAGATCATTGAGGAGTTCTTCAACCAGACGTGGAGCTCCAGACACAACCAGTCTCTGCCAGACCACAGCCTGACTCTGCTCTGGTCCCTCTCCGTCAGCATCAAGGACTTTGGGGCGCTCATTGGTTCACTGGGAGTCAAGTATTTAGCAGACTCCTATGGCAGGTAAAATTAGATATATTTGTCCACATGACACAATATTAGATAAGATTTGATTTGGATTCAGTATCTACAATAATAGATACAGTACATTGTACTTTTAACTCTCTATTTCCAAATAAATTATTACAAAGGTGTGAGGAGGCTTACATTTCAGCAAACCTCATACTTCTTGTTTTCTCACAAATATTATTATTATTTTTTGGCTAAACTACTTTTGCTTTATAAACGGAGAATCGTCTTTTCTTACCTAAAAAATACAAAAAATAGTCATCTACACAGTATAGTTTGGGGCGTCAGTAGCTCAGTTGGTAGAGCATTGGCCTTAAGGCCAGAAGGTCGTGGGTTCAATTCCCACCTCTGCACCTTCTCCATCGACTCCCACTGATGACTGCTGTTGTTGTGTCCTTGGGCAAGACACTTAACCCCGCTTTGCCCAAAGCCCCCACTGAAAGATCAAGGCTATGCTCACACTCAGACAGCAGCCGTCCTCCTGTGGACACTGACCCTGCAGAGGGTCAGTGAGGGGCTGGTGCTATGAGACTTGGGTGGCATCTCTGATTGCCACCCCCCTGACCCAGAAATGGATTAAAGGGTAGAAAATGGATGGACAGTATAGTTTGAACACATTTCCACAACTCCCTTCAAAATGAGCTCTCAATGGGACTTTTCTGGTTGGTTAAAAGTTGAAAAAAGCGTGTCACTAAATGATACTTGGTGCTTTTCTATGGTTGTGCAAAGTCGTACCGCCAACCTAACAACTAACAACAACAAAATCTACCGGAGGCCAAAAGCACAGAAGTATTTTAATATCACCTCCTCTTCATTTTCTGTGGTCCAGGCGAAACTCCATCCTGATCGTGAACATCCTGTCGGTGGTGGGGGCGTGTCTCATGTTTGTCTCCAAAGCCAGTGGGTCCTTTGAGGTGCTGATCGTGGGGCGGCTGGTGTTCGGCCTGTTCTGTGGCCTCGTCATGAGCCTCAACCCCCTGTACATCCAGGAAGTGTCCCCCACAAACTTGAGAGGGGCCTTTGCAACACTCAACCAGGTCTCCTTTGCCACTGGGATTCTTATAGGAATGGTGAGGAATTATATAGGAGGATATTATAAAACATCCATTACAATTACCATAACAAAGAGATATAGAAAAAAACTATATTAAAAATAAAACAGACACTGCCAATCAAAAGTTACTTAAAGCTGGTGTACCTAGCTTTTTTTTAATATATAATTAGAAGAGATTAAGAGACTTTTATTCATCCCACTGTGGGGACATTTCAGTGTGGCACAACAAGTTACAGAACAGTAGGAATAAGGAATGAACATGCAAAATATTGTGTATATTAGAAATCATGTGATCCTCCTCAGCCCTATGAGTCGTTATTCGACTTCTAGGGCTCAGAGCTGATTGCCTGACGGTGATATAATTTTGTTTCTTTTCACTTTCCCCTGCCTGAAAAAGATTTAAAGCCATGAACACAAAATAGCTATCATTGTGTGATTTTGTGGGGTAATTTTTATTTTATATATAGTCAATATTTAGTGTATTGACTCAATATTAGAAATCATGTGATCCTCCTCAGCCCTATGAGTCGTTATTCGACTTCTAGGGCTCAGAGCTGATTGCCTGACGGTGATATAATTTTGTTTCTTTTCACTTTCCCCTGCCTGAAAAAGATTTAAAGCCATGAACTAGTTACATGTATTACAATCATTGTGGATTGAAAGTTAGGTACACCAGCTTTAATGTATCTATTTGAAAAAAGTAATTGCAAGTTATTTCCGAGTTAGTTAAAATGAAGTGAATGTCAGTCATTTCTAGCGAAATACAGATTGGAAGGCGATCAATGAATAATGGACAAAGTTATAGAATGGGAATTATTTTGCAGAAAGTGCTGTGAAATCCATGTGTATAAGCTAATAGGGCTTGTTCGTGTTGCAGGTGGCCGGTCTGGAGACAGTTTTGGGGACAGAGCATCACTGGGACTTGATGTTTTCCTTGTCGCTCTTCCCGGCTCTGCTTCAGTATGCAGTCCTGCCGTTCTTCCCCGAGAGCCCCCGATTCCTCCTCATCAACAGGGGACAGGCGGAGAAAGCCGAGGCTGGTACATTAACACATCATTCAAATATTGAGCTTTTTGTTAACTCAACTCAGCCGGGTTCAGTCCCAATTCTTTCTACATGGGTTTAGTAATCCCCAATAGAGAAGAATTTATTTTGGAACGATTTGAAATGTTGGTAGCTGGTGTCTTATTTACTTTCTCAATGGGGGTAAAGCAAAAGTTATGGTTTGTCCCTTTAGCGCTGGTGAGACTGCGTGGCCACACAGACAAAGTGTATGCGGAGCTGGAGGAGATGAAGGAGGAGGCGCGTCACTCTCCGGCTGGAGTCACCGTCACCGAGTTCTTTAAGAAACGTCGTTACAAACAGCCCATCATCCTGGTGCTGGTGGTCAACCTGGGCAGCCAGCTCTCTGGGTTCAATGCGGTAAGGTCAAAGTCTTTTTGCAAGGGATTTAGTAATTTCTCGGCCAGCACTATGTGTTCAGTGCAAATCATGTTTTTCCAGCAATCTCAATGAATCAAGGACATCTGAATTCATCAATGAATAGTTCATGAAGCACTAGGGAAAATCAGATCACTTGCTAATCTAGTCCTATGATTTCAAACTGTGCATGATCTACAATTGTAGAGTGAAAATCCAGTCTGTTGGGTGTAACTAGATTGAATCCTTTCTGATCTGTATGAGTCCTACAGAGACAAGGCAGCAGATGCGTTTAAAGAGCACAGGGAAACACCTTGCTTACATTAGAATAGTTTGTATTTGAACACTTAAGTTAGGCTGTTTTGGGGGAATCTCCTGACTGTTTTAACTGTTGGCCATCAAGTTCATTTCATGTGGAAGTTAGTTCATAAATCAAAAATGGTCAAGAGTTATATGCTTTTTTTAATCACAGATCATCAACTACTCCACCAGGATGTTTCAGGCCAAGTTTGAAGAGGCCAAATATCTGACTCTGGGAGTGGGGGCTGTCAATGTATTTTTCACTTTGGTTGCAGTGAGTACATTTAATTGTTACTTCACATTTTTAAACACTGGAATTCCTTATTGCAAACTTTTACAATTGTACTACATAAGACAAACAATTGTGTTTCTAGTTCTTCCTGATGGAGAGAGCGGGTCGGAGGAAACTGCTGCTCACTGGATTTATCTCCATTGTTGTGTGCAATTTACTCATGACCGTCGTAGAATCCGTCCTGGTAAAAACTTCAGTCGGCTTATGTTTCGATATCTATTAAGTAACTGGTAGCTTGATAGGATCATCTTCTATAACAGCAGCTCTTCTTAAATGACCTCTCCCTCCTCTGCAGCATCTGATGCCAGAGTTGCGCAGTCTGCAGGTGCTGCTGGTCTTCTGTCTGATCTCGGCCTATGAGCTCGGTCCTGGTCCCATCTCCTGGTTCATTGCAGCGGAACTCTTCGACCAGCCCGGACGTCCCATCGCCATGGCCTTCACCAGCATGCTCAACTGGGGGGGCAAGTTTGTCCTGGCTCTACTCTTCCCTCCGCTACTAGTGGGTACAAAATTATCCTTTTCCTATATTTTATACATTAACTGTTGCGTCAATGGTACCTAACTTGATAAGGATTGAAAATATTGTACCTAACATAAATCAAATGTTGATTGCTCCAATAGGAAGACTTTTATAGTGATATATTATCAACAAATCAGAATACAAAAGTGTCTTCATCTTGGGAGAAAATTGTTATCTTTTGCGTGTTTGTAAGTCAGCTTTGTGAGTAATTGACTCTTCGGGCTGAGAGATGATTGGCTGAATGAGGATGGTCCTCTATGTTTAACTTTTCAGTCAGTGTATTGAGTCAATACACTAAATATTGACTATTTATAAAATAAAAATTACCCCACAAAATCACACAATGATAGCTATTTTTTCCAACACTAATATCGCCTCCCCGACAGACCCATGTGGGTGATAAACGTGTTTGTGAATCTTGCCCCTGACAGAAGCTGTGTGGGGCCTATGTGTACCTGCTCTTCATGCTGGTGGCAGTCGTGGCCTTCTCTTTCACTCTGCTCCGATTGCCTGAGACCAAGGGACGAACATTTGACGACATTGCAGAGGAGTTCAGAGGAGCAGACGAAATCCCACTCAACAAGACCGGCTTCAACACTTTCAACTGAACCAGACTCTGCCGCCAATTTCAACTGTTGCCGCAAACATCAAATTAGCTCATTGTAAATGTTCCATGTAAATGTGTATTGACTAAGCAGTATTTATCATGATTTGAGTGTATTTTTAATGTTTTAAATCATGGCTGATAGAAGAAGGAGTCCAGTTTTCATTTGAAACGCTGCAGCAAAAAAAAGTTCTCAATAAAAAAGTTGTCAATTGAAGATACCGGTGAAACAGGTAAATTAAAAAAGGATTGAAAAATCTATTTACCTGTTTCAAATCTCCACTTAATTCAAAAATCCGTTTTCTGTCAAACTAATGACACATTTTAAATTAAATAGAAATGAATGAACGAGATTATAATGTTCCGAGTTTTACCTGTAAATACAACTTACTTCACAGAAATCATGCAGTTTTTTTCACCTTCCCTCAGATATGAATTCTGTACGCATCAAAACAACTATTGATAAGTTTATCGAGCGAGGTCACCATACAGGAGGCACATGTCAGAACTATTGTTGTTTTTAGTGGTGGGGGAAACCGGAGCACCCGGAGGAAACCTACGCACATTAGAACAGGCTTGAATATTGAATGTAAAAGATACTGTATACACAGATTATCATTTACTTTGTATCTGTAACCAGCTCCTGTCATCTCACCACAAAAATATTCATTTTTAAGATTATTTTAAATATTTATTTCCAACTTGGATTTTTCACACAGCATAAAACAAATGAGATACAGAAGTAGTTTGAAAATGGGTTGAACGAAAACAATGATAATTGGGCTTTAACCTCTCTCTTGCTCACGCACGCACACACGCACGCACGCACACACGCACACGCACACGCAAACGCACACGCACACACACACACACACACACACACACACACACACACACACACACACACTGCAGTTTTCAACCTCAGCACTGGGAGGAGCTAAAACCTGCTTTGAGCTTTAATAAGTAGAGCTGTTCATTGAGCATGCTGAACTCCGAACAGCTACAGACACTTCAGAATCATGTTAATGCGTTACGTTTTCTTAAGTTTGCTCATTTACGGAGTTACAGGTAAGAAAACAACACACATTTAAAAATGCTGAGAAATATGCAGTTTTTTTGGGTAATCAGTCATATGTTTTTTCCCCAAAGCTGAACAGACAGTGTTCCAAACTCCTCTTGGTGTGATCCAATCCGCTGGTCAATTTACTGTCAAAATGCAATGTTTCCATAAAGACAACAATTATGAGCAAATTCTCTGGTACAAGCAAGATAAAAGTGGAAACTATAGATTCCTGGGCATCCTGAACGTCCACAAAGCCTTCCCAGAGGACGATCTCACCGAGCGCATTGGCTTCAGTGGAAATGGCCGCTCTGGTGGCACTCTCGCCATAGAGAATGTGACCGTGGAGGACTCTGGAGTGTATTTCTGTGCAGCCAGACGACACGGTGCTGCAGATCCTTTTAAAACCCTCACAAAAACCTCCCCCAAATGTGATGATCGAAGCACCTGCAAACAGCAAAACCACAGCTCAACTCAAATGAACCCAATGCAAACTGCTGGGACTTCCACCACAGCAGACGGCATGTGTGCCAGACTCCACAGAACAGATAGACTAACTTTACCCCCGTCATGCACTGTTTATATCATTCATTAACTTTACCTCAAAATGTAATCTTACTATCCCACAAGAGGGAGGCAGTTGTTAAAACATGACACTTCCAAATGCATTTAAATTGCATATAATACATCCACACTCACTGCAGTCAAACAAATATGATCCTGTTATTTCTTCTGATAGTGCATGGCAGAAAAAAGTTTTGCCATCTTTGTGTCACTATGTTTACATATGTTTCAAACTTCTCAAAAAATTGTCAAGTTCCCAAATCAAAAAACAGTATAAATGAGTTTAAATGCTCTTGCCCAAAACTCTACTATGATCACACACGTCGTTGGTACGAACAGGAGAGAAATGGAGCCATAGTATTTTATTATGTAGAACAAAAGATGCTGTTGAAGACAAGATAAATATGGAAGAGTAGATATTTCAAGTATAATAATAATACTAATACATCGGTTTTATATAGCGCTTTTCAAGAACTCAAAGACGCTTCACAAATTCATGACACATACACGTTTAGACAGACACACAAAAACTAAAAATCTAAGAGTGGGAAATAAGGGTAGAAAGTTTAAACTAAGAGTCAAATGCTTGGAGGAAAAAGTGAGTTTTGAGCTGTTTTTTGAAGGAGTTTAGAGAGTCCGAGTTTCTAAGATGGAGGGGGAGAGAGTTCCAGAGAGTGGGAGCAGAGATGGCGAAAGCTCGGCCCCCCAAGGTTCGGTGCTTGGATTTGACAGTGGGAGTGAGGAGATATAAGTCTGCAGATCGGAGTCAGCGGGAGGGACTGTAGGGCTGTAGAAGTTCAGTGAGGTACAGTATGGAGGAGAGAGGTTATGGAGGGCTTTGTAGGTGATGAGGAGGATTTTGAAATGGATGCACTGTTTGATGGGGAGCCATTGGAGTTTATGGAGGACAGGGGTGATGTGTTCTCTGGAGCGGGTCTGAGTGATGAACTGCTTTGCCAGTATAAGGCTTTACATTTTAAATCTCACTGTAAAAGACACTGCTGCGTATTATTGTAGAACGGCACAATTATAGAACCGTCGTGTTGAGTTTGTGAGCAGTGAACACCTGCGGAAATACACCACAACAGTTTTTGTACGGTGCAAAGTCAAACGAGGTTACATTCGACAAAAGCATGGACGTGTTACTGTTACATGTATTTTTTATAGTATTTACTTTGAACATAATTGAATAATATGCACACTTACGATATTTAAATAACTAGCAATGAATGTGCAATGATCCAAAACATACACTGAGAGTTTAAAGATAGTTACAAATTTTTGCAATATTTTCAAAGTTGGTTTATAGTCAAAATTAACTTCAAAACAGCTAACTTAAATTGAAATAGAGATATTTTCCTTAAAATTTTATATTTTCATTTCATTTTATTGGATGCTAAAGTTAACCTATTCAACTTGGTTCAAATAATGGCCAACTCTCATTCATTTTAATTTAGTTTTAGTTTAGTTTAGTTTAGTTTAGTTTATTTATTTATTTGAGCAGTTCAAGTTCTGCTCAAAAGGAGTGGGCCGAAGCAAAAGCTTATGAGCGCCCACCCCCGAAATTTCACACCATGTTATCAATCATTTACCTGTGTATAAATAAATCCATTTGTCCCCGCCCCATACACACACACTCCTTCCTCATTGGACAATTCCTCGCTGTACTTATTGTATCTCAAAGCAGTTTATTCCATTTCAAACGTTCGTCATAAAAAGAGAAAGATGGCCATTGTGTTGATTTTATCTTTTTATATCAATCTGGTTTCAGGTACGACTCCATGATAAAAAGCATTGAACAAGTGTGTATATTCTTTCTTTGCTAAACTATGATTTGTTCTGTAGGTTTCTCTCTAAATGACCAGGTCCATCAGTCTCCGAAGGACTTATACAATACAAATGGAGCCAGTGCTGAAGTGAAATGTTCCCATGACATTCAAAATTTCGACCGGATCCTTTGGTACAAGCAGCTGCGTAACGGACAGATGCAGTTTCTTGGTTACATGCTGGACACTCTGACAAGTACAGAGTCTGAGGCCAAAGTGCAAATGAGCGGAAGTGCAAGCAAAGGACAGACGTCCATTTTGACCATCGAGGAGCCGAGCAGTGCTGTGTACTACTGTGCTGCTTCTCTCACAGTGAGGAAAAGCCCGGATTCTCGAGACAAAAACCACTCTGAATTAGCAGTTTGATATGTTCCACTTGGTCCTGCCCACTTTCCATGTGTAGACTTCTTACGATATATGCCGCTGAATAACACTCTAGATCCCAATTTGCAACCTCTACTGTCAAGTTAGGAATGACAGAAGGAAACAAGCATTTATGCAATAATTTACACTGTGTTTACAGATGGTCACTAATGTGACAGGTCACAAATAAAATGAGGATTAGATTCACTATCACTATTGATTTTACTAGTGTTTCTAACAAGTAAATCATGAACAATAGAAGGAGAAATTAGTTATGCATCAAACAAGGTCTATTATTTTAGGTAATTTTAGATATAAAAGATTAAAGCTAATACACTCTGTAAGTATAATTGCACTTGGGATTATTATTGAATTGTAAATATTTAATTATTTTCATATATGTTCAATTAAAACAACTGCGTTCAGTTTTTTTTTTTTTTTTTACTGAAGATATTTGTAAGACATTAGTGCTGGTAAACTGTTAGTGACAACGTATTCTATGGTCAATACATTGTACAGACAAAGAAGCTTTTACAGCTTAAACTATATCTTTTTGACTTGGCCTTAAAGTTCACAGTATCAGTAATTCGTCAATATCAAACCTTTTACATAGTACTTTACATGTTGATTTTATGAAACAAAATAGTAATTACAAACATTTACAAATTCAGAACCTCAGGAACCAGTGAAGAAGGTTTCTCTGTAGCTCCTATAGGTGGCACTGAAGTCTCAGGAACACCACTCTGCATCTCTTACTTTTGATTAAAAAAGAGGCTCAATCCCTCCGGTCTCAGTAGATAAAATCTCTCAGACCAGTCAACATGTTTGCATTCATCTGCTTTTCACTTTTGGGCCTTTGTCTCTCTGTTGAGGTCCAGCAGACTCCACTCGCTTTCATCACAAATCCAGGAGAACAGATCCAAGTATTCTGCAGCCATTCGAGAGGGGACTACACCCTGATGCGATGGTACCAAAAGCAACCTGGAGACCTGTCCCTTAAATTCATTGGATATCTAAGCTACGGCAACAAAGTCTACGAGGAAGCCTTTAAGCAACATTTCACATTTAGTGGAGATTTGAGTGGGGACAGAGCCAAGAACGCTTCCATGTCGATCACCAACATACGCACAGAGCATAGTGCCATTTATTACTGTGCAGCGAGCTATGCACATTGATTTCATGTTCTGTCAT